AGCTTTCAGGCTTCTGTTTTTGTACAATAGTGGGTATGGAGAAAAGCCGGAGGAACTCACTGGTAGGCATACTCTACAGTCTTTCTATTAGCTTTCAGGCTTCTGTTTTTGTACAATAGTGGGTATGGAGAAAAGCTGGAGGAACTCACTGGTAGGCATACTCTACAGTCTTTCTATTAGCTTTCAGGCTTCTGTTTTTGTACAATAGTGGGTATGGAGAAAAGCTGGAGGAACTCACTGGTAGGCAGGCTATAGAGCTTTTCTATTAGCTTTCAGTATGTTTTTTTCATGACGTGATAGGGGGAAAGCTGGGGGAAGTTATTGGTAGACTGCCAAGATTTTTAAATTTAAAAATGTCTACCTCGGCTTCAGCGTTGTAAGTCAGTTGAGGGTTTTTCACGATATGAGCCTTCGGTACTGTAAGTGTTAATAATGTAAAGTACGCTGTATTGTTCATGGGAAGGGGAAAAACGCTTACAATTGTATGTGAAGTTTCAATTAAACATCACAAGTTTGTTTGTCTAGTGTTCCGTTATGTACCCTCGGAATGGTTGTGTCTCAAGGTTTCCATCATTAACCCAGCCTGGCGTTGTTGAGAAGTCCTCGCTGTATAAATACCACGGCGACCTTGGGGTCGGGTCTTGTGTTAGCTTTACTCTCCACCCTCCCATTAGGCCCCGGCTTTTCTTTCGTTAGTAACCCTGGGAGTGGACACTGTTGTTTGTCTATTAAGAAGTCTTGTTAAGACTCTCTAGCCACATTCATTCCCCGAAAAGATCAATTTACGTTGGAATCAACATGTATATGGCTTATGGTTTGCTATAAAAATATCCGTAGTTCTGTAAGTAGTGGTGGTTACATCTTAAGTTACAAATATATATATGTTTACAGTGTCGTTACACACGCTCCAGTGGGTGGTTGGCGGGTGCTCTGGTGTGGTCTGCTCCTTCTTTCCTATCAAACTACTATCGTCCTGATCTCTCCTCCTTCTATTTTATGTTTGTTACTCTCTTGTAACACTTTGGCTCTTATATGACCTTATTGTGTTGTAATTTAAGTGCCGTAAAACCTTTACTAAAACCAAAACACACACACCTGAGATATTTTTGGAAGTTTTGAGAAAAATGTGGAAAACAAGAGCACCCAGATCAGAAATATGACATGGACACAGTTTTTTTTCTGTTAAAAAAAATTAGGAGGGAAATAGGAAACAGAATGAAACTTTATTGTCTGTATTGAAATAACGGCTTTATTTGGAAACCCCTAGAAATTGATATTTCCCGAGAAATTTCTAGGAGATTGTGGAATGATGATGCTGTCTAGGTTATGTATGGCTGAAAAGAGAATATTGTTGTTGTGGTATGTGGAATATAGTATGTTTTTAGTTTTAAATAATAAATAGTATTGATGAGGGCGTAAAACTTTAACGATTGCATCCCATGATTTGTGTGTGGTTGTGTGGTAACGATTCCGTCCCATGATATTGTGTGTGGTTGTGTGTGAACGATTCCGTCCCATGATTTGTGTGTGGTTGTGTGGTAACGATTCCGTCCCATGATATTTGTGTGTGGTTGTGTGGTAACGATTCCGTCCCATGATATTTGTGTGTGGTTGTGTGGTAACGATTCCGTCCCATGATATTTGTG